GAGATTGCACCTGGTTTCTTACTGTGACAGCTTCTAACAAGCCTCTAGTATTAATAATCAGGATGTAACGCACACTTTCATGAAAGGACAATGCTGTTCAGTCTGCCTCAGCCAATTCTATCACATGAGTAGGCTCTAGCTAGCAAGTTGATGTGGAACTGGAGTTAGTGATTTAGGCCTGGCATAGGTATGTGAATTGCAATAGCAGAGAAGGGGTTGCATGCAGCTGCTTGAGACAGAGCACCAGAAATCTCAGGAAAGACAGGAAGAAATGGTCTGCGTGAAAGTTAATGTTCTCCATGCTCATAAAACTCAGCTCAGGCTTAGGGGCAATTCTATGGCTTTGGGTTGAGTCACCCAAGTCTCATGGTCTGGATGAGATTAATGATGATGAGAATTCAGGCACGTGTAGTACTTTTTGCCTTTTTTAAGAGCTATTATTAAACAATTTTGTCTTTCAGCTGTAGCAAATCACGTGAATGTCAGGGAAAGATCATGACCTGTCATCCCCCAAAGCCTGCCAGCTATAAGAGGGGGCAGAAGGGAAGTTTTGGGTGCTGTTTATGATTCCACCGTGAGTCCACTCTGAATCAACTCCTTCGAAAGTTCAGAAGGGTTGAAAGGATCAGTAATAGTTTGGCACACAGTATTTTTTTTGCACTGCATTGTCTCTTGAAACGAAGAAAAAAATCCATCTTTTGCATACCTGTGTTAAAGCCTGCTTTAAAGTAGCAACAGCATGAAATTAATTGATTTGACCTTCCTGCACTATGGCAAGTGACGGTTAGATTTGGCAATGATGTTTGTTCCTTAACTCAAATTTAATCTATAAACCTCAGCGTGGAAAAAAGAATTTAAGGTGTTAATTTAGTTTAGACCCCATCTTTTATTTTTTATAAGTTCTGTATTGATATGACTAGAAATATTTTCATTAATTCAATTAAGGGCCTCCATTGTCTGGACATTAAAATATGAGACCATAAAGTAAAAACGCTGGGTTCTCTGACAGCTCTGGGCAGTATGCTCTGCATCTGTATTTTGCCATTTTTAAAATGTGGTAATTACTGTCTTCACAGAGGAGATGCCGGATTTATGCAATTTCCTTAGACTGTGAAATGTCATGTGAGTTTTAGGTACTGCTGTAGTTGTTTTTCCACACTTACTGCTACTGTTTCACGAACAGTGTCTATATTACAGCAATGTTCCAAACATTTTTAATAGTAGGTGTAGAAGATATCATCAAAATAAAAACAAAACACGCTGTCACAATATTATTTTAGGGCAAAGTGTCAACTAATTGGATGGCCTCAAAACCAGCTTGGTTTCCTGGACACCCACATGATCTCCCACGCTCCACGAGTGAGGCTTCCTGGGAGCTTAGGCCCTTCCGTGTGGACGTGCAGTGCCGTTGGTCAACACATGTGCAATAAGCCTGACACTTCCCAGAAGTGTCCTGGTGTACAGTATGTCTGCTGTAGAGCCAGGCTGAGCATTTCCATGGAAACTGTAGCTTAACTGTAACCCACAAGTCGTTCCATTAAGCCTATTTGTGTAAATAAGCCTATTTATTTTCCACAGTTGGAGTTTAAGGAATTGGCTGCCTAGTAAGTGGGATTCTGACTATAACTGGATCTCTGAGTGGTAATGGAGCACATATTGTAGTGTTCTAAAACCATGAATGGGCTGAGGTTTGATGGCAACTGAATCACATTCACTCTAAACAACAGTGAACTTAATATTTCAGTGAATCTGGGATGAGCTGTAAGATTCAAACACAACCCAAAGCAAGTGGATGTGGTATCTGCTTTCATAGCAGAAGTTCTTCAGAAATTAACCTAAAGTTATTGGAAGAGATGTTGATGTTCCAAACAAATTTAGTTCCAAAATCACTGAGGTTGTTACTTTTAAGTAATTGAATAGATCTTTGTGATCTGATCCTCAAATTTAATATTAAGTTTTGGGCTTCACAGAGTATGTTTAATTATTAACAAATTTAGGGCTGCCTTGTTCTGCAGGGAAGAGAGAATCAAGAGGGGAAAACTAAAGAGAAGCCTTTTTCCTATCTAGGTCATTTATGTTTAATACAGCTACTGACCGGACAACTTCCAGAGTAATGTCAGGCTTTGAATATGGAACATTCAGAGCTAAAGTAGAAGTCATTCACATGGCAGCTGTGAGAGCAGTTTTGTCCCATAGCAGTAGTCATGTACCACATCCTTCTGTGCAGAGTAGCTATTTGTTGAGTTGTCATAAGAAAACTTCTATTGGGATCTGCAACCTGAATGTCTGTTGACTATGTTTGTGTCAATGTGTACATGTGGCGATGGCTTTTGAGCGTGGGGTACTGTTCAGTGAGGGCTATGGCCGCAGAAATTCTCTAGTCCATCAGCTATCCCCAGGACCAGTGCTGTGCACATCGGCATCTGGCACTTGTAGAAGCACCATGACTGTTTCAGAATCATGAGTGGGAACTTGCTGAGACTGTCATTCTGTGTTAATCCACTAGCTTCTCCTCAGCCCTGTTGCTAGACATTAAGTCCTTCAGGAAAGAAAAATGCATTTGTTAGTGTCCTTTTCCACACAGGTTCCTCATTCTTGCCTTCTAAACCTCTCAAGACATGGCCGTGGTCAGAGAACTTTTCATAGAACTACTTTTCCCTGGAAGAAAACAGCTGTGTCAAAATAAAGGCATTTTGAGAAAACACGTTAGTCTTACATGAATTTTACAAAACTAAAAATTATGTCCTCTTGGTATTTTTTTATAACATATGATAATAAAAATATTAAGAACTGTAATCATCAAGACTGTTAAACAGCTATGCAATGTATATCAATTTTGTCTATGTTAAATGTTTTTGTCAGCCTAAATAATTGGGGAGAGCAGGTGGGAGAAGAGATATTTTTTACATTCTTTTTGTGGAAAGGCAATCCAAGTAACCATAATGATTAATTTTGTTACCTATGGTAAAAGTATTTAAGATTGGATGCACAGCTTTTGAGCTCCTTTGACCAAGCAGTCATCAATACTATGCTGTCAATAATGGTTGTCTTCTCATACACCATACAGTCTGGATCTAATCTGGTATTTTATCTCCTTGATTGTTTCCTTTTACCTGTGGAAAGGAACATTCCTTGCAGTTTATACTGAGTAGATACACTGTAGGTAGAATAACTTCCATTTACCAATGAACAAAAGGAAGAGTACACCCCTTGATTGCTATCATTTGCTTTCACATCTATGCTGTAGAAGAAAATAGACTGTCAAGCAAAAATGACATTAGGAAAGTCACTTGTTACTCACATAGAATGTGTCAATGCAAATGTGCGTGAATTGCATTTCGGGTCTTTTCCTAGGAAAACAGTTATTATGTGGCATCTTTTACTTCAAATAGATGGTACGGAGACCTCCTTTTAATATTTGGAGAAGGCTGGTCTATTTTCCCTTTCTTGAACGTGGAACTCCCATTAAAATTAAGATAAAAATGAATCATGCTCCTCTCTTCTATGGGAATAACAGGCTACTCCAATTAAGTGTGCTTTGCAGTTGTCATTCTAGTCTGGAGTTGCAACCACTTTTTTCTCTTGAGGGAAAGGCGGGGCAGGAGCAGAGTTAATTCACATTGCTTTGAAGCATCCTGGTCTTTCTCCGTTTTCTCCATGCACATGACTATTCTTCTTATAATTAACTCCTTCTTAGCTGTTCCTGTTAAAAAAAGATGATAAAAAAATGTTTATTTTTTCCTCTCATTTTACTCAGTCACAGACTGTCCTTGGATTACACCGGTTTCCCACTGTACCCATTGCACTGTGTAGGCAGTATCTTTCCACCTTAAAGATGAACGAGTCTCCTCAGAGCCTCTAGCCCTTATACCTTTCCTTCAGTGTCTGTAGTGAATTGTATGAGGCGCTCCCCTCCCGTAGGCTTTGCATGTACTGCTTGTTCAGGGTTCCCAGGCTGAAGGCCAGGAAACAAATTGCACAGCATGACTATGGCACCTAATTTATTTTTTTTCTCCTTCATCATTCTTATCCTCATGCTGCTTGCCATTGAAAATTACATCCATGTGCAAACCTTTACAGTATTATTAAATTAAAACCCATCTAAGACATCTGTTAACATTAAATAAGCTCACTGCAGTACATATTGAAACTCTGACATGAGTTGACAGTAAGATATTTGTGTGTAAGCGTGAAGTCAGCAAGTGGAAGCCTTTCAAAACGGAGGGAAATAATGTCAAGATGAATGAACAGGGAGCAAGATGTTCATTCATGTGAACTCTTATATGTCTGTTTGACACTTCTCTATCTGCCCCAGCAGGCTGAATAAGAAGAGTTTAAAGATTATCTTTCAGGAAGTATTTAACAGCATAATGTTGTTCTAGTTCAAAATATTTGTGCAGCTCAGTTAGTTTTTGTCTCAGGTAGATCACGCAACATCAAACCAAAGAGAGCTTTCTGCTTTTGTCTAGCTAATAATAGGAACGCGTTGCCTGAACTAGTTCTGAAACTGGGGGTTGATGTATATATTCATTTAAAAGGAATCGCTGTGAAGGGATCACAATGAGATAACTAAGGAACTTTGTGATCATAAAAGCTCTGATTATACACCATTTAATCTTTAAAAATTTTGTTTTCAAATACATTTGAATATTCAGTTAGTTTTGCAGTAATGTGGCTTCCAAGACTTTCACAATGTATTTACATCTTCTGCACAGTATTGTTAATAGTATGTTAAAAGTGCTAGATACCTCACAAAACCATGTTGTATTGCTATTTTTGGGAAGGCTGAAGATGTGACTTGTGTCTCAGCCCAAAGAAGGGAAGTACGAAGAAGGTGATTGAAAGTGCTAGTGCTCCTTCTGAATGAATTGGTAGCTGCTACTTGTTGCTGGTTTGCATTGAAAGCACTATACCTGAAAATAAATAATTTTCAGGTCTTCGGTGAAGCATTAAGTCCAACAATTTGTAATTCCTTTTTTTTTCTTTTCTTTTGATAACAGAATTCAATGTAAGTTGCAGATATGGAGGAGTTTTTCATGTTGAGAAAAACGGTCGCTACAGTCTTACACGATCTGAAGCAGTCGAACTCTGCAGAGCTCTCAATAGTACCTTGTCAACACTAGAGCAATTGAAGAAAGCTCATGAACTTGGATTTGAAACTTGCAGGTAAAGAAATTATTGAAAAAATCATGACAAATCCATCCATCTGTGCTATAGTGTAATAATTACAGTTGACTTCATATAGCTGTTAATTAGATGGCCCTATCAGTTCTCAAGTAAGTTATACTTTGTGATGAACAAAACATCTTTGTGCATGTGCATGTTTGCTCTGGGTCCGGCAATAAATAAGTCCTTGACTGCATATGCTTTTTACCAATAATCTTTAAAAAATCATAACATTTTACAGATAAAATCTAAAGATTGACAGTATAATAAACTACTTAAGAAGATGTTCAGATCATACTGTATCACTGACCAATTGGTAAGATAAGTATGTGAAAAGTATTTATGATTTTTAATGACCTGATGTAAGGTCGTGTGGGATTCACAGGGAGTGTTGCGAGTGACCTTGGACAATTCAACATAGCCTTGAAGGAAATAGTCTGAGAAAGCAAGTAATGAAGCAAGCGCAGAAAGGGAGCTGAAGATAAAAATGTTTTGAAGCACAGATGTGAGACTGAAACTAGCAGACGCGTGTCTCGATTAACAGCACCAATTAAAAGCTTAGCCGCGGTGCATGGACAGCAGGGGTTAACCAATCCATGGACAAACTAGAGCGCGTGGACAGCTAGTGAATCTATAGAAGCGCAAACTTGTAAACAATAAAGGTCTTTGGTTTTACCCGCGCCAGAGTCTGAGAATCAATCCCTACAAGGTCAAAGACTGAATATGGTATATACAGTATAGAGAACTCGGTCTTGTCAAGAAACAGTAAAAAGCAGCAAGTGGTACCATGAGGGATGAACTCTTGACATCCCAGTGAAAAAATGGCCACAGTATAAGTGCATTCTTATAATCTGTGAATGGAGAAGTTTCGGAAGACAGCCATAAAAATTATTAAAAAGCCTAAACCCAAGTGGTCAAGTGACTTGATTACCCTCTGTAATTAATGATGTACAGGGCAACAAATGCAGATAATACAGACTCTTCAGTTTAGCAAAAAATCACTAGACCAAAAGACTGGAAATTACAGAAAAATTTGGATTAGAAAAATTAAGTGAGCACTAATACAACAAAATATGTAAGGATAATAATTATTGGCAGAAACAACTTACAAGGGTTGTAGTAGATGCTTTGTCACACCGAAGTTTCATCAAGATGAAATGTTTTCCGCAAGGATGCCCTCTGTTCAAACAGTAATCGAGTAGGGACAGTCCTATGCTCTGTAAATACGTCACACTAGATGATCATATGATCTTGCTTTACAAAATACATAATATACTTCCAATGGAAGTCATCCTAAACATTCATATGCAGAAAAGAGATTGAACTCAGGAGCTGTAAATTTGAAGTTTGTGTGGTTTTTGTTATTTTGTGTTTTTTTAAATCAAATAACGTAGATTCATGTTGGTAAACTGTTATAGAGTTGAAATAAATTTCAGTAGATTTTCAACTTTATTACAATCTAAAGTAAACAGCAAATATGGAGAAATGGAATTTATCTTCTAACTGGCTGGAGTAGAAAAGTTCAGTGGACATTTCTCCAAAATTTTGAGATGTTCATTCTGTTACCACGAGAAATAATAGTGGCATCAATACTGCTTGCGACTACTTCCTGTGAATGATTTCATTTCAGTTTAGTCAGTAGTGCTTTACTTTTTTAATGCTTAATGCATGAATATTCTTTCTTACATTTCCCCACATTGCAAGACCATGAGAATTGAATAAAGGTCCTTCCAAAGTAATAGCATCCGTACAAAGTAATTTGTAATCATGGAAAGATACATGTGCGGTGCCTTGAAAACATTCTTACACATATAAATGTCATGCACTGCCATTGATGACAGCATATGCCGTGTTCATTTTCACAAGCATTGTGCCCTGCACAGTGGTGAAAGAGGTGGACACTAGTGCCAGGGAACAATGGACAGAAAATTCTTAGAAAATTCTTCCATAAGAGGTGGGAATGTTGTTTAAAATAGTACCACATAAAGACTAGAGACAATTCATGACTGCGAGGGAGAAGTCCTGCATAACACGGTAGGCACGTTCTTTCTCTAACATTAACATATGAACATCCTTAGCATTCTGAATTGTTCGGGACTACACAATATGTAGAGACTAAGGATCAAATCCTAACTAAATGGCTAGAGGTAGAGATTTCTAGTGCTAGCAGTTATGAGTATTCTGCAACGTGGAATGGCTTTTCTGAAGTTAAAATACAAAGATAATTGAAAGAAGGAGTAGAGGGAAATGTTTTTTGCAGTGGGGAGCTGTAGTTTTCCATTAATGTTACAATTCTCCCTAATTCACAGTTTAGCAGAGGACAGATTTGGACATGTAAGGCATGTAGACAGGATGTCTTCCTCCCTTCCTTCTGGCCAGCCCTCCCACCCTCTTACTTTCATTTGTTGATTCTGTGCTAGAAGTCCTTGGCTGTAAGGCTAGGCTTGTATCAAGCTTGAGTAGGGAAGAAAAAAGATGCATCAAAATACACATGGAATGGTGAGTGAATAAGATGACTCAACAGACCATAACACAAGAAGGTGATTAATGGATTATAAAGTGTCAACGTCGTAGGTTCAGTTGGAAGTGTCAGTAAAGCAGTTTATAATTCCACCTACAAGAGAGTTTCAGAATTGCAAGTACCTGCACATTAGACATGTAGCTGGAATGGGGCTCACAGATAAAAAACTGCAAAGCTATGAAATTTACTCCTCCCTGATAAATTGTACCTCTCAAGAAGTAAAACAAACCCAAACCAAACCCCAGTTCTCGTTACCATTCTATCACACCTCCCAACTAAATACATTAGAATTAATCAGGTGTTACAAGATTGCAAAATAGTAATAACACATTGTGCATTATGTAGCTCTGTTAGCCACAGTCTTCACTGAAATATGTGAGCTCTGTGCACAATAGCCACATTGCTTGACTGAAAGACACTGTAAGAGTTTGTGGATGAATAAGTGTTGTATCTGAATATTTTACTCAGCTGTCAGCTTTTGCAGAAAGTGTTGAGTCTTACGATCATTCTCTAAATTTGCTCAGGTACTATAAATTGAACCCCCAACATTTCTGTGTGAAATGTCACTGAGCAGTAGATTATACTCAAAGCAATGAAAATGTGACTCCCTGAAGAAAAACGAAGCCAGTCTTTAGGGTCAGGTAATACAGCCTCACACAGAATAAAAAGTGCACTTGCCTCCCAGTCCCTCACTTTCACTGTCTTGCTCTGGAACCAATCATCCTAGCTGATAAGATGCTTGCTTAATTAAAATGGGTCTAGCTCTAGAAATCACATGCAAAATAGTGTTGAGTGGCTGGAGACTGACATAGCTACACATGAGAAAGGAACACCTTTCATATACAAAAAGTATGCATAAACACATGCACTTTTAAAAAATAATGTAAGATGGAAATAGTGGCTTCTTCATAACTTCTTCATGTTTGAAATATCTAGAACATTTATGCTATCTGCTGTGATATATAATATGGCGTATTTTCCTCTGTTCTTCACAGGTATGGTTTTGTAGTGGGGAATATTGTTATCCCACGGATCAATCCCTATCCTCTTTGTGCAGCAAATCATACTGGCATTTACAAACTTTCCACAAACACAACTGGTCGGTATGATGCATATTGTTATAATGCAACAGGTATGTATACGCTTTCATTATGTATTTCAGATATAGATTAACTATCAGTAACATACGTAATCTCCTATTTAAGGTAGTGGAATGAGGCCTTCTATATTAAATATCGTCTGGTTTTCAGCTGAGAAGAAAGAGATTTTGTCAGCCTCTAGAATTGTATCTGTAATGCCAGCAATGAATTTGACCCATTTTGTCATTGTTGTGCTTTGAACTAAACCATTGGGACTAACTTAGTAGCTACAGAATGGTTCATTATAACGGTTTAATGCAGTGAACCACTGCGGCAGTGAATCTAAAAGACATAACCGTTGTAGGCGATGGTGCTCGGCTCTTCTGTTCATGCACACATGAGCTTCTATAGCCAACAACAGTTATTTGTGTAAAGGGATGCTAGGAATGGCTCCCACCTGCAGCAGCTCCTCGGCCATCCCAGGCCCTTGGACGTGGCTGCTGCTCTCCTGTTTGCAGGTTCATCCAGTGGTTGCTCTCTGGCAAACCTCCATTCAGACCTCAGGCAGTTAGATAGTGACGAGAGTCAGAAGCAGACTGCTTTCTTCTAAGGTTTTGAACTTTTTGATAGTTGGAAATATTTTCTAAATTATTGGGAAAATGAGGATAATCTTGTGATAGTTGCTGAACACAGTATTTGAAGATAAAATCTGGACTAACTTCAAGTGTCTTGCATTTCAGTAGATTATTACATTCACAGTGGAAAAAGACCTTACAGAAAGCTGTATGCAAAATTCATTGATGATTTGCGTGGCGGTGACATTTTTTTATTTTGTTCTTGGTGGTCATATCATTAAAAATCACCTTTACATTGGCATAGTGTCAGGTGAGCTGCCATCCTCTGTCACCCACGGATGACTCTTCTCCTGCTAGTGTGATGTCCATCCCCACCAGGGCTTTGCAACTCCTCCCGAGTCTTATTCCCTTCCAGCACTATGAGCAGGTGGCTCACACACTGGCGTGTGGCACTGGAGCAAGCAGTGCCCCCCAGACCAGGGCACACTCTGCCTGGGCAGAGCCCTCCAGGGAGGGGATGGGATCTCTCGGGCTAAAAAGAATTAGAGCTGCCACTGCCGCCACGACAGCGGGACTGTCTGCATTGAACCTGGGTCATAAGGCTATTCTAACTGACATTGATTGCAACCATTTCCTGGAATGGTTTTGGAAATCGAGAATCTTGTCATTAGCTGACAAAACGATCTGGAAGTGCCCCACCTGGGAAGGAGCGAAAAGGGAACGTAGGTAGATCAGTGAATAATGTTTGATTTGGAAATTTGGTTTTGATTGTCCGGATCTGAAGTTGACATTTTGTGATTATGTACAGTTAATATGGATATACACATGACTTTTTTCTCAATTTTCTCAATATTTTCTATTTTCCTTCTTTTACAGAAACAAGGGACAAAGCGTGTGAGCCAATTGAAAGACCAGGTACTTCTTTCCTCAATCATCAGAGTGAAATAGATAGTGTATTGATTAGAAAGACCTGCCACTTGTTTCATCTTTAGGAACTGGTTATCTTTTTTTACATAAACAATTGCTAACATTAAAAATCAAGCCAAACATAAGAAAAAGAAGTCAAGAGATGTTCAACATCATTTGAAACAATTAGTCACTTCTCTTCCCCTAAATCCTATGGAGCTTGGTTTGTCATAAGGTGCTACCAAACATTTTTCATATAGGTATTTGTCATTTTTTAGCACCTCAGAGCTGCTAATATTTCTTTGACATATAGGACTTTGCTTAAGACAGTAACCTTTCTACATCTCATTTGAGCTGCTGGTTAGAAAAGCAGCTGGAAGTAGAAGAAAACTCTCATAATAACTTATTTGTCCCAATTATAAATTTCTTATTGACTTTATAGAGGCCAAGATTTTATGTTCGAAATCAAACTGATCAAAATATTTGATGCAGGGTGGGCCCTATATGTTTGACAAATACAGAGATACATTAGACGTAGTTTATGATCTAGACGGATTAAACAGGATGGAAAAAATGGATGAACTGATATTAATGCACAACGGTGTACTTTTTTGTTATAGGACTTAAAGTGTCTAGCATTACTGAAATATAGCTATGTAGCTCCTTGATATTATCAGCTGCTTAATTTCTTCTTTCCAGCAGTCATTGACAATGCAGATGGCTCACGTTATAATGCAGATGACACGCATCATAGCAGAGAGTCCTCAACCTCAGGTGTGGATGATGAAAATGTAGGTAGCGGATCAACACATGACACAACTGCCATGGATACCTCCATCAGGAGATCCAGCCCCTCATATTATGGAAGTGCTACTCCAGTCTCACAGCTGCCAGATCATTCTTCTGGAGGGGGTGAAAAAGAAATTCCTAGAAAAGATTCTGGTAAGGACAGTAGGTTACCACTATATCCCCTTTAAAATAACTGTGTGAAGGATTGAATTTTATTTAAAAGATATCATGAGGGAATGAGAAGCACTGCCTCTAATTTGTATCCTAGAGAAGTAAAAGGAGAATGTGTGTCTTTGAAAGAAAACAGAACCATTCTGAATTTTAAAGGAATTTTTTGATTGCACAGGGGTGCTAAATAGCCACACATCAGCATAGTTTCCCACATAAACCTTCCCAGGATGTTGAGAATATATGGTTCTAAGAATTCGCTCTTGTTCTTATTAAAATATTTATTCCATTAAAGACTCAAAACATAGCATAGCAGTGAACACAGAGAGGTTAGTGAGGCTGATGGTATGGGTATATAGAGATAAGGATAACATATTCTTATCTGTTCTCTAAAAGGATGAATTGACATTAAGTAATAAGAACAAGGAGGAGTTTACGGTAAAAGTCATTTGTCTTTGTACAAATGGGGGGAGGGCGGTGTTCAGGACATCTTCTTACTACAGCATATTGCAGAATGCATAGAGATATAAAAATGTCAAATTAAATTGTTATTAGTATCTTCTTCCTTTAGGTAGCAAAGTCAAATTCTGTTTTCATGAAGCCCTACCAGATACAAATGCCTTACTCTTTCCTAGAGCAGTCTACAGGGTGGCAAATTAATGAATTAGAGTGCCTTGCCTGTATCTTGCTTTCCTGTGAAAGTGGCATGTATTTTGTTTCATCTTTATGTTGCTTGTGCAGCTGAAATTTTCAGAGGTCTGAAAGACTAGCTGCCGTTGAATCTAAGCGATACAAACACAATTCATCCCCTAAGTACAGTAAAGTTTACCATGTGACCTCTGACTCTCTGACTACAGGCTTTTTATCAAATCACCAATAACTTACCAGTGAAGGATACCAGTAGTTTGCATCATTATCCTCGATAAATGCTGAAATGAAAAAAAAAAAAAAAAGGAAAAGGAGCAGAAGCATTAGGGTTATAAAATTACTTTTCACTGGTGGTGTAGTGATGACGTTATGCTTGTTTTCCCATGTAGTTAACATCATGGAAGGTACATCCTAACATTCTCTTCGTAAGGAACTAAGATCAGAGCCATTCCCCAAGGTCTATGCCATATATTTCAATTGCTTGCCATGACAACTTTTATCAACTCTGCTTACATGCAGAGTTTAGATTTTTGGACTAAATCTCAGAATAGATATCAGTAAAGAGGGGAATACAAATAACTTTTGTTATTTGCTGTAGAATCCCTGTCCAGATGGTGTACAGGTACAGTTAGAGTTTGTATCACATGAACAGATAATTGCCAGAATGTTCGTTATCACTGTAGTACATATTCCTCTTGAAATAATCTGTTTTGCTGGTATCCTTACTATGTTAGTAAAGTAAGGCTATTTGGGGTTGAATTATACAAAGAACCTCGTCTGTATCCTTCTTTTCTCTTGGAGCAATAAATGAAGGAATGAAGTTTGCGGTAGTAGTTGTGAGTACTGAGTTGCAACTCAGCTGATGAAATAGTAATGATTCATCCATCACCATACAGATTATGAAGTTTCTCCTGTATCTCCTGACATCTCTTTGGTGACGGCAACTGATGATTCCCCTGAAGAAGATGGTGGACAGTATCCTGCGAGTACTAGTAAGATTTATGTATTATAATAACTACCTCAAATATAGATTACATTAAAACTGCTTTCTTCTTCCAGCAGGGCATTCTGGTAAGTGGTGAAGTACACATCATCTCCAATTTTGGAAAGACATGGAAAGACAGTACTTTCCAGACTGGTTAAGTCAGAATTAAACTTCACTCTCTGGGACAAGGGGAGCAAAAACATTTACTATATGTTTACTTCAATGCTTATACTTGGTTCAGAAAGAGCATTGTTTTGTGTTTCCCACTGCTTTTTTATCATAGCTATTTATGAGGCACCACAAATTAGTGCAACCAATGATCACCTGAAGTCAATTTATGTCCAAGATAGAAGAGGATATTTTTGTCAATTTGTGATGAAAGTATCTGTGATTCCAATATATTTATGATTGTGAATGTGGGTAATCCACGTAAAAACCGTGGCCTTGCTCACAAAGCAGTGCTTTAAGTGGCAGTTCCATTTGCCAAGCCACTTGTGCACTGCAAAAACTAATTTCGTCCTTGTTGTTGGCAATATGCATGAGTAAAAACTGGGGCCTGTGGTGGCTCCACAGGCTTTGAGGGCTGAAAAAAACAGTAGGCATTTTCTCTGCTTTGTCCTTAAATAGCTGTACTGAGTGGGAAAAACTGCTGGGGATGTTTTTATCAAATATGTAGTGCACAGCAGCTACAGGACAGAAAAAGCTTTTAAAGTCATCTTACACATTTTAAAGTGGAACTGTACATATATTCACTCTAGTTCTGAAGTTTAGACTGATAAAGCTCTTTTCCCCAGAAGACAGAGTGAACCTAAAGGGAGAACATTTTAATTATACAGAGGAGATCTACAGAGGCGTGTTGTAGTAAAGACTGAATTGATAGAAATGAAAGTTTCTTCCTCCTAATTCTTTTCTTCCCACCATGGAAGCCCATGATAGTGAGGAATTTACTTCATTGTTTGTTGGTTGCTGATAGATGGTCAAATGGTCTGTGTGACTTGGAGGGACAGTGCCCTTGTTACTGTCTTTAGAAATCACGGGATAGAATAAGAATGATTGTCTTAGACAGTTAGCGAAAGCTTTACTAAAAACCAGAAATCATTCAAGCAAGCATCTTGTCTCAGAGGGTGTGAAGGTTAGTAACACCTTATAAATATGTAGATGGAAAAAAGAAGTATCAGATTGATTTTCGCCCAAACCTTGAAAGCAAGTAGAGAATTTTCTGGTGCTTGTTTCAAGTGAAAGGTCTTGCCACCAAGCATTGCCTGTAAGGTGGGAGAGGGTAGAAATTCCACCTGGTAGCAGTGAGGAGTTTGTCTGCTTGACTCTGGTGGTGGTTTTTCCTTCGTATTTGTTTGCTTGTGTATGCGTGTGTGACTTAGTGCTTCCTTATAGAGACGTTTCTGTACCTATTGCAAAAACCTGTGCATTGTTTCTAGGCAGGAAAGCTTTTGGTTTTCCTTTTACTGCTTGATTATCAAATGTATTGATCCTAAATATGTATGTCCCTTCCTGTTGCTAACGGTTCTCTCTCATGGACATGACTATTTTACAAAGGGAAAACTAGAGGTATTTAAAAGACTGAAATAACTATAGAGCTATGTAATAAAAGAGGTCAATACTCATATATGTGTATCACAGAAGCGTGGTTGCTTAGTGGTTTAGGGTTGATAGATCGATTCTGTGGAAAAAAAGATTATGAAGATACTGCCCCTGGGTTTTTCTGATAGCTTTAGCTATTACTCAGCAACGTCACTTTAAAGCCAAATAGACCCGTTTCATTTAATTTTACTGTATTACAAACAAATGAGTAATTTAGCACTCCTTTCAGAAGTTAAGTATAAGCTATGCATCTCCATGAGAAGTCGTCAAATATTCAGCAGCATAGGAGAAAGTTGCATGGAGAACAAACCAAAAAGAAGATAAAACCATGCCCCAATGTCTGCTATTTATATTGTGCAACAGTGCAGGCTCATTGGAATGTCCCGGCCACAATTTAATTTCCCACAGAAAAATCCCAGAAACAGGAAAGTAGATAATTAATAAATAAGTAAAGAAAACTATTTGGCATATATCTTCACATAGATGGCTAAAAATATATCTGTCTAATTCTATAGTGTTTGAAAATGAGAAACAAAACTGGCGGTGCTCCATCTATGCTACACACTGTTTGTAAACTTAAAGTTTGGTGAAAAGGTGTGTAGCTTGATCAAAACAATTCTTTGCTATGGGTTTGAAGTGAGCAATTGCCACAGCTCCTTGTTCTTCAGATGATCCCCTTTCATTATTACTCTGGCTTTGGACATTATTGGTGATGTTCCCCATCCAGTTCGTGGTCCAGATTATTACACTGCCGGCACATTGCCTTTGACTTTCTCTCCTGGCTGAAGCAAGTTTTTCTCTTTGTTATTAACAAATTAAGATTCATCTCTAGATGTGCCATGGATCACATGACATAAAATTCTGTGGCTGATCAGTGAGATACTTCCCTAAGTTATCATCAGAGCTAGTTACTCAAACAGTAACTGCAACTGATTTTGTTCATAAATATGTGATAGACAATCTTATGCTCTGGTGGATTTTCCTTTTATTTGGTTTGGAGCATTCCCTGAAAAAAATCTCATCAATGGAAAAAGTTGATGTCCATACTTTGGCTTATCTGACAGAAAAGCATTTGCATTGATATTTTGTATGTGGAAGGAAGCCATGAATCCACATTCATCACTTAAGAAAATGAGCTCCTAAGCTTATTGTAGAGAGCAGGTAGAGGTAAGAATTTTACTGTGATTACAGCAAGTCAGATGGCAATTATTTAGTTATTCGGTTACTTTCTTGTTAACCAATGTTTTGACATTATCATTTTGTTCACAGTTCATCCCAAACCTTCAAATCTGAGACCACCCGGATTTTGGTGGTCTGTCACTCAGAGATCGGATTTTGAATGTCTGGGGTTCCCTTTTTCTGACACCAGTGTCAGAATAGTACTACTGGTACTAAGTTTAGGGAGCAATTAGTAACTATGAGAAGAGACAATATTTATTCAGTCAAGGGCAGCTTTTCAGAAAGGCAAAATCTGTTCGGTTTTGCTGCCAAAAAAGCTACACCTTGAAAAAGTGCAGTTCTGAGTTTAAGTCCATACACTTTGTACACTTTGCAGTTTACAGATAAGCAAAACATAACTACTGCAGACCGAAGAACATCAGTTTATTCTGTTTGATCATTAGAACTTTGATTCCTAGGTCTTGCATTTTCCAATGCTTTCATATATTGCACAAAAATTGATCAAAACTAGTGTCTTTGATGTTAGTCTTCAAGGTATTTTTCTAAATCAATTATTTGAAGATTTTTTTCTGAATGAAAAAGAATAGCTGATATCTTTTCTTCGTCTTCAAGCTACAGAAGTAAGATGGTCTATATGCTCATAAAAAAATTGCTTGTGAGGAATTGCCAGAACAAAAATATTTCCAGAGAAACATTTTGAAGTAGATTTTGTTTTCTTTTGCTGAATATAAGTAAATTTTGCTTTCTTTTGCTGAATATGTGTATGACTTGGAAGTGCAGTTCTTGCAAATTCTGCTTCTCAGTTTATTGATGAATAACTTAGCGGAGGCAAAGGTTAAAATTTCAGCTGGCTTCCTTGAGGGATTTCAGTTTCTATTGTGTGCATGCTTCTATTAGCTTTGAATGCTTTTTGTTAAAATATTGGAGCATATTTCACATGCAGTACATACTTTGATCTGTCACACCTAAAAATGCTTTGCAGAATTCATTGTCTTTACTGGACTTTCAGAGCTGGTAACACAAACTTATACTTTAGTGGATGTTCTTTACTTCACTTACACTAATAGCATTGGATATTTTTGCTGTTGGAGGAATGTAATGATACCACTGGTTCATACATTCGCCTTGCACTCACATCCATCTCAGTGGCATGAGCATGCTCAGGGTGCCGGTGCTGGTGGA